TTAACCTTGAAAATGTTTTTTTGAAAGGACTGTAATTAAAATTGCTTTTCTCACCCATCGATAATGCAGTGCTTACAGAACGTCGATTTTTGAGCAGTGACATCTTGATTTCTAGACACTTTGGACCGAGGTAGGTGTTGCAGCATTTTTCCTTCTCTTCGCATTCCTCGTCAGTGAAACAGCTGCCGGCAGCAAGCACTTCGGACACTTCCGGTTTACTTGAACAAGCTAGTGGCTCTGCCGACTGGCAGCAGAGACCGTATTCGCAGGTGAATGATATGGGACACGTGTTGTAGGGTTGATCGCACCTGCCAAGAGGCACCGTTCCGTCAAAGCATCTGTCTAAAAAAACGACTGGTCACGAGAAGAAGATACATGATTTTTTTTGATTTTGGTCACCTCGAACAGAGTTAACTCGAGCACAGGTTTTGGCGGACACGCACAGTGAGTCCGACGAACTGGTCAGTCGAAGGTAACCGTCTTTGCATTGACAGCCGGGCCTGCATCCGTTGCAGAGGGCCGAAGTGTCCCGCTCTTTTCTACAACTCGGTTGGCACTTTGTGACGCACTCCCCGTACTCCTCATTTTTTCTCACACATAACTGCTTTATCCTCATCGAAGCCTGCGTTGTGGTCGCCATAACAGGACCTAAATCATTCATTCGTTGCCGAACAGAACAGAGTTCAGTTTGCTCGCCGGATTAGCTTTTACTGGTAGTGGTATGCGCGTTTAATGGCACGCCTTCGACGCAGATTTTTCTCAGATTTAAATCACCAGAATCGCAGCATCTTTCCAGAGTAGTGCAGTCACGGTCACTTTCACAAATCTGATACGGTCGATTTACCTGCAGTTGAATCTTGGCTGGACAGATGCGCTTTGCTCTCGATTTCGCACCTAAATCGTCACTCATATTATTAGAGCATCGACAACTGTGTCCTCGAAAACTCTCTTCCACATACGTGCTTCCGTCTTCACATATGCCTGTGCTTTGCCACAGACAAGTGCAACAGCGCGATTTACGCGCAATCGACATTCGTCATCATTCACTGGTATTCTTAATCTTCGTTGAATATGAAAATAGTAAATCACGACGTAAAATTAACTTTAATCCATATGGAAATTTTGGCTGTCTTCAGTCTGCCCGCCCCCCCCCCCGCCCCCAATAACATATTCTTTAGCCCCTTGGGCCATCGAATTCTGGATGATATGCTGCTGCGCTAGACCGTCTGCCAAAACATCAGGTTTGCCATACCGTCGGAGCGTATAAGGCATTGTGAAGAATATGTCTTCAATCACCATGAGCATTGCTTATGGAAGATTTTTGACTTATAGTCTTGATGCGACATATAATCTGTATGACTATGACTCTCTGGCCTTCCACAAGAAAAGAAAAAACGATATCATTGCATTGTGAGTTCGAGTCGTTCAGTAGTGCCGTGCCCCGTTTGGTCAATATTCTGCGAAACCTGTTACATTTAGCGACAATTGAAGGTCAACCTGTACTGATTTGTTTTTTAACCGAATCTTTTTTATTTAATTCATTAATGTGTTGTACTATTGTCCTCGAACTGCTGGGAAGCAGATATTCACCATCGGCTAAAGCAGCAGATTTGAGTCACATAATGAACTGCGAAACAAATTACGATGTTTCTATCGTTCCACCCTCGTACTTTGAACACCAAACGGAATTACCCCATTGCGTTACCGTTTTGTTGATCTGTAAAAGAAACACCTTTTTTTAGACTGATCGTGCAAATCTTTTGATACTACTGTGGTGATTATGCAACAACACCTTGTTGCCGAAGAGAGCATGAAGTATAACTTGCGAAAAACATAACTAACAGTTGGAAGCCGAAAAATTATATTTATTCAAAACGAAACTTTTGAACTTTTAGACGACGTCTGCCTTTGGATCTGCGGCGCTTCCATTAACAATGTTACAGCATCGTCTGTTAATGAAAGAAGATCATTTGAGGTTTCAGAAGGTCTTGTGTTAAATCTGTTTGATTTTTGAACCGATGTCAAAAGGTCAGTTTCTAACAATGGAGGTGCCGGGTTCGAATC